CCCATCTCCCTTCCTCTCTCTGAAATAAATGAAAACATATAAAAAATAAAGTAAAACTGAAGGATGTGAGGGAAACTTTTTGGAGGATGTAATATATAAAGGACTACCTGAAATTGATGAGAGTTAGCAATTTTTAAAAAGCAGGAAAAAATTTCAGGAGAATAGTACCATATGTAAAGGTAAATACAAGTAAGAAGGTAAATACATTATGGGGGAACATCAATCTCAGCCTAGCTGGAGCATAAGTTAAGAGATGGAGGATGAAGATGTGAATTTGAACCAGTTCACAGAAGACCATGTATGATTTTTTTCTATAGGCAATGAAATACTATTAAAGGACCTTAACTCAGGTTACAATATTATCACAGTGCATTTTAGAAAGTAATATAGAGAAGAGATTAGAAAGGACACAGACTAGAGTCAAAAGTGCCAACTATGCAATCCAGGTGAAAAATAATGTAGCCAAAAATAGCAGTGTCAGAAGAAATGGAGAAAATGGTGTGAATTTATCAGATATTAACGAAATAAGCTATATATGTTTTAGTGAGCAATTAATGTAAGAATGAGGAGAAAGAGAAGTTAAACTTTCACCCCACCATCACATTTAATATGTTTGTATAATCCTTATTTTCCCTTATGTAAATTGACTTGTTCATCCTCAAGGAAACTTGGATGACAAGATGATTTTGACTTGGGCAACTGGGTGACTTATAATTGCTCTTCAGAAAAAGGCAAATTTAAATTTTACGCCAACAGTGTGCTGGAGGTGCCTCCCAAAGCTTGTGAAAGTCCAATCAAATGCACACATCTCTTCTAACTTGAGTTCAATGACATCACATTAGTAGCTTGAAATTGGTCATGGTGGAGTATTTACACCATAGTAATTATTAAATACTACCAATCAGGCTTTTATCACCCATATCCCCAAAGAGCTGGTTGTTAAACATTCAGCAGCACCACTAGTTAAGGTCATTTAAAAAGGGAGGGATACCTTTAGTAGTAATGGCAGAACTGAGATGGAACTTAAGTAAAAAAACCTGTATCAAAGACTGATAGTCAAAATAGAACTGGAGGGCAATTGTTAGGACCTGAATGAAAGGCAGGTTAGAAGGTTCAATGGAACATCTATAAGGAGCCTGCTGAAGATGGATAAGTACATTGCCACAGAGAGGAGAATCTGAAATATCTGAAGAAGCAGGTACTTGAGGCTGCTAATCAGTAATGGAGAAATCAGGTTAGTCTCTAGGCCAGGAATCAGAAACCAGGAGCATTACAAAGATAGGAGATAATTCAAACTTTAAAGATGATGATAAAGTTATATCAAGGCAAATCAAGAAACAAGAAAGCCCTTAAAATGGTGGTGTAACTTACGCCCAGTTTTTATAAAGGAAGGCTTCCGTTTTCTTGCTGGGAAATTGCACTGAACTATGTCATCACCTGCACCACCCATACACTTTCCAGAAATAAAGGCAAGGTCAGAGTTTAAAGAGTAGTCCATGTTGCAGAGCAGATAGATGAGGTTGTGTACATAGACAACTCCTGGCCAGGTATAGTGTTTAAGCCCACACTTCTATAGTTCAAAAAGTCTCCATTTATCCAGGAGGTAGAAGTCCAAGATGAGCCAAAGGGTAACTCCTTGTTTCCCTTAAGTATGATGAACAGGGCTGGTTAAGTGATTTGGGGTGCCCAGTGCAAAATGAAATGGTAAGGACCCTTGTTCACAAAGTATTATATTAAGAATTTCAAGGTGGCAACAGGTAAACATTTGAGCACATGCTCATGAAGTTGGCCCTGATCCGGGTCACTTAGGTAATGGTGAAACTTGTCCTAAGTATTACTTTCCTCTATTTAGTCCAGATCCTCACTTGAATTATTCACCTATAATTACACGTTGAAAGATAGGAAAATAATTGGCTTTTTGGCTGATGACCATAGACATGTTAAGTACAGACTCCCTGGAACCTGGAAACTTAAGACTCAGAGAAACATGATTTCAATGACCACTCACTAATGAAATTTCATAGCAAGTGGCAAACGCTGTGAGAATAAGCATCATTGTTTCCAGGTATGATTAGTTGAATGAGCTAAATGATCCAACAAACAAGCAAAATTTCAATGGATGCAGAAGCAACAGAAGTTTCTTGCTCATATCATAGCCCAGAAGACCTGTGAAGCTTTGGTTCCACATAGAAACCAAAGACCCTTCTTCAGTCTTGTTGATCATCCTTACTTTAGAAAAACGATTTTCATCTCATGGCACACATAAACTAATTACTAAAATTCTGTGGCACATCAAAATATATATTTTGCCTATCTTTCAAAAATAGGTATGCTTTTAATTCACTCACACTGGACAGTTATTGTTGCGTTGGCTGTTGTCATTTGTTTTTATTTTTATTTTTTTACAATCTAAGGGAAAAGAGGTCAGTGCCCCTGACTAAATAGTCAGGTATTGCATATTTTAAAAATTCTTGCGGCATACTGAAAATCACTGCTGTAGAGCCTTATAGCTGACTCCATTTTGTTGGTAGATGGAGAGAGTAAGAATCCAGTATAGGAGGTCTTCATGGGCCAAGCCTGGAAGTGGTCACACTTTTACTCACATTCCTTTGGCTGTAACTCACTTAGATGAACACATCTACCCACAGAGGAGACTAGAAAACATAGCTCTGTGGCCATGAGGAAAAGAACATGAGCCCTAGCCAGGTTAGCTCAGTGGATAGAGCGTGAGCCTGTAGACTGAAGGGTCTTGGGTTCGATTCCAGTCAAGGGCACATGCCCAGGTTGCAGGCTCAATCCCTAGCAGGAGGCAGCTCATCAATGATTCTCTCTCATCATTGATGTTTCTATTGTTCTCTCCCTCTCCCTTCTTCTCTGAAATCAATAAAAATATACCTTTAAAAAAAAAGAAAACATGAATATTAATGAATACCACCTATCTTTACTACATGAAGACTATTGATGATAGCTCTTGATCAAGAGCAGTTCTAATTTCTGCTTTAGAGAAGAATTTCCCCTTTCCTTCTCATTCTCCTTTTCATCATTAAACAGATATTTGACAGGAGCCTACAATATACTGGCCTATGGTCAATATAATAATGCTGATAGTAAAATCTGCACAAGGGAGAATTATTCACAAATGGAAGCACAGAAAAAGAGGACAAAATATGCCTTTTAAGACAAGGCCAGATCCTCAGCACCTATCTGTCAAATTAGAGAAATATGTGTTTTATTGAGAACATACTGATTTTTTTCATAAATAGTATTTTCTCTCAAGAGAAGGTTCAGTGGGATCCCACCAAAGCCAAACCTCCATGAATTGTGGGTGTCAGAAGTGATCTCTAAAGTCCTTTCTGGCTCTGATATTCTAAGATTTTATGTTTGTGAAAAGCAGAGCCAGCATACCAGTTAAGAAGGTTGGACAAGAACCAAGGAATAACTTGTGAATGAGAATCAGCAATAGCAGATTGGAATTTAGGGGCAAGAGCTGGCAGAATGGAGAGCCTACTGAGTGACTTGGGAGCTATTTTCTGACTTAAAAAACATTCAGATGGTGAAGCAGTTGAGTGGAACAGTGCTTGGAACATAGTACCTAAACTTGTAAGCATTCAGAAGTCCTCCAACTTTGACGTACATAAGAATCATACCAGGAAGTTGTTTAAAATGCAGATTCCCTACCCAGAATTTCTAATTCCATATGTTAAGGGCAGGAACCAGGAATATGTGTTTTCATCAAGAGCTTCTAAATTGCTGTGTCTCAGAAATCTCGTGGTTGAGATTAAATGTTCCAAACAGCTACTGACTCTAGTAAGAAAGCTCAGTGGAGTCCGGCATGCCAGGCCTTTTCTCTCATGTAAGGTGTCATGTGGCAGACCAGAGGTGATCCGTGTCCTGTTTCAATTTTTCAAAGCACCTTAGTGCTGTGGCTTGCCATCCCCATAGCTTTACTTCTCTGCCAGTATTTGCAGAGTAGTTATGAGAAGAAGAGGGATTGCAATCAGATTTCCCATCTGGATCTTAGCATTGGCACACATCTGGATTAAAAATTAGGGGAGACAAACCAATCCAAGAGATTGCTGTTTCCCAACATCTCACTGTTTAACTCTTGGGAACAACTCATCTGGGTTTAGGTCTCTTTATTTCCCCCTTTGAGCTGGAAAGTTTAGATTCACAAAGCAGTGTTTTTCTCACTTTAGACAGTTTTAAAAGTGCTTTCCCAGTAAGGTTGACTGGTACTATTAATAAGAGCTTCCCCTGGAGATAGGATATTAGGTGCATTTCACAAACCACACACTTTGGCTGCCTAGAGCTTCAGATAATGCTAAGAAGGCTCTCTACCTGTGACCACCAAAACATGGCATGCAGCTGCCTTATCTCCTTCCACACGTCTCAGATGACACTGGAGAAATTATATACCTTTAGGGTTCGCCCTGGACCCTTATTGTAACCCAATTTCATCTGGAAACAGATGCTAATGGTGGGGGTGGGGGGGGAGAGGACATTCCTAAGGAACCATCAGATCCACAACATACTCAAGAACATTTAGGACTTCAGATCCCACCCACCAGTTCCTATTGCACTGCACCTTCTTATTTCTGAAATTCTTTTTTACTTCAGTTTCATAATATGAACCAGCTGCTATGGTAGAGCCCTTAATCAATTATTCTACATGCCCAGTGAAATTATGCTTATAAACTGTAGATTCTGAAAATATAACTGGAATACCCTTTTGTGTTGCACCTGTATCTCTGAAAAAGAAAATGTTTAAATAAAGTTTCAGGTTTACTTAAAGAGGTTGTCAACTTTCCTTTTGAATGTGGCCGACTGCACAGGTAATTGAGGTCTCTGATGACCAGTGAGATGGATCATCCCATCAAGTTGTGGGATCTCTGGGTTTTGGGGGAAAAAAAGGTCTGGCTGCAGTCCAATTGCAAGAAAGTAAATTAGATATACTACCTCAAATGAGGACAAACCTTGCATGTTATTTTATATCTTTACAGAGAAACTCATTGTATCCAGCTCACAGTGACTTATGAGGCATTTCTGCCAAGTGGAATATTCATTTCTACCCACACCGAGGACCACTCCAAAGGCAAGGCAAGCAGTGTCTTCAAATTTTCATATTGTCCTGTTTATTGGGGGAGAGACAAGGGGACAAAATGGAACATGTGGGAGGCTGCTATACATGAGTATCTCCAGCTGCCATCCATATCTCAGGAAGTAATGTTACACAGATAATTATAATTCACAAAGCAACACAGCCAGGAATAGCTCCATATCCTGTATCTATAATGGCAACCAGTGTTCAGCCATGGTTGAAATAACCAATAGTTTGTAATCAGCTGTGCCAGAAAACCCTCAGGTTGAGAGGGTACCCCCAGCTGAGTTGTTTCCCCTCTATAAGTCTGTAGGAAGCTATAGAAAATTCTGGTATTGATAAATCGCCTCTAAAAGCCAGAGTGGAATTTCAAAAGCGAATCCTGGGGGATCCACTGGTTTAAGCTTTAAGGGGCTCAGCATCATCTCCATAAGGGTGTGGCTCTGGGGCAAAATTTCCCTGTATGACCACCCTCCAAACTTTACCAACATTCTTATGTAGATAAAATTAAGTACAAAATGACTTATAAAGGCCAGGGGGGGAAATGTTCCACAGGAGCACCCTGCAGATTTTGAGAAAAGTCCTATTGAGGGATAGGTTTGCCTTAATGTTGATCCTGGTGGTTTTAGGGCTTCATTGTGTGTTTTTACTGGCTCCTGAAGACAAGCATAGCCTGCCTTGATCATGCTAAGAACACTTACATTAGCCCATAGTTAAACAAAATCATCTAACACTATCAGCTGTTTATTTTCATAATCTGATGGCTGACTGGGAGCTGAGGCTCACTGCAGCTGCCCAACATCATGATATAGTATCTTAACTCACAATTCTAGATAAAAATTAAAAATTTGAAGTACATTTTCTACTGAAAATATATTGCTTTTACACTATCATAAAATTGAGAAATTGTTAAATCGAACCATTGTAAGTCAGGGACTGTCCATGGCATTGAAACATTCCTGTACTAAAAATATTTTTATATAAGTCTAATTTAATATATATGTTTTTTATTTCTGGACTTTTCCATTTATAATATTATATATTTTTTAAAATAGTGAATTTATATGAAAAATGGCCATGAAAATGCATCCTCTATAGAATTGCTATTGACGATCTTTCCCATGATTTGTTTTTATATTTATTCTTATGACTAAATTCTCCAAAAACTGATGTACAAAATAAAATTCATCTCTTTTGAAGATCAGGTATTTTTCCTTTTATTAGAATAAGAAGTATATCTATCTTTGTTTTTTTACCCCACTTTTTTTTTTCTTTCTTTCTTGGTATGCCTGCCAGGAGCTTGGCATTAACTCAATACTTAATTACTGTCAATGGCTCACCCTTGGTTTAATTCTTTAATTTTTATCTTGTTCCCCCAAACTTCCCAGATGACTCTTGGGGAGGAAGTGGCCATCTATGGAGAGATCCCCAAAGCAGCAATCTATTTAGGAAGCTTTGCTTCTCTTAGTAATGTCTGTGGAGACTTGGAGCCTTTCTCTATGTGATGTTTGATGCCCTATTCTTATTAATTTTAAGCTCTACGTAGGAGTATCTATTTTTTTATTGTAAGATACTTGAAATTACTTTTGGAAGAAGAAAGTTCATAAATGATAAATAAATAGTCATGAATAATAAATATTTGACATGATTTCAGTAGTCATACCTAGGACATGTATTCCACCCACTATCAAAACAAAGTGGCTATGAAAAAGCATCAAGAAACACTAAGCTGCTATAGCTCTTACCCCGTGAACAAATCATTTGTACCTTGGGTGGCACTTAAATGTAATAACCCAGAGTGACCGGGAAGAGAGAGCCTTGAATTTGTGCATCTTAACTGCAAGGGAAGCCAAAACTGTGGCTTTAGCTTTGCCTTAAATGAAATGAAATTAAATGAACACAGACGGTTGCACAGCATTTTAAACTGTTTCTGAGATGAGCAGAAGTGAAATGAGAGCAATAATTAGAATGTTCTTCAGTTTTCCTTTGTATGCTTTTGCTTGATAAGTAATAATTTCTTATTTCAAATCCTGCTTTTAGACTAAATGGCTGTGTGAAATCAAAATGACAGTGAAGATAAATTACTCTAACTTCTCCATATTTAGGTGACCTTTTATTGATGTTCCTGGTACTGTTCCTGTGCCTTGTCATGAACCCTGGGGCTTGAAGTGGGGAATCTTAGGCACCTAATGTGTGTCACTGAGTACAAATGCAGGAGGAGTCAGAGGAGGAAGACACAAAAGCAGCTGGAGACGCTAGCAGTTGGGAAGTGAGAATGATACAGTTTGAGATGGAAAGGGAAGAACATTCCTGATGAGGGAGTTTGAAGGAAAGAGTAATCAGAAATAAAGTATCTGAGCCGAAACGGGTTTGGCTCAGTGGTAGAGCATTGGTCTGCGGACTGAAAGGTCCCAGGTTCGATTTCGGTCAAGGGCATGTACGTTGGTTGCGGGCACATCCCCGGTGGGGGGTGTGCAGGAGGCGGCTGGTCGATGTTTATCTCTCATCGACGTTTCTGGCCCTCTATCTCTCTCCCTTCCTCTCTGTAAAAAAATCAATTAAATATATTAAAAAAATAAATAAATAAAAAGAAATAAAGTATCTGAGAGGCCCTGGCCAGTGTGGCTCACTAGTTTCATTCCCAGTCAGGGCACATACCCAGGTTTGCCAGTTCAGGGGTCAGTCTCCCTCTAGTTGGGTTGTGTACAGGAGGCAACTGATCAGTGTTTTCTTTCACATCAATGCGCGCTCGCTCTCTCTCTCTCTCTCTCTCTCTCTCTCTCTCTCTCTCTCTCTCTCTCTCTTTTTCTCTATCTCCCCCCAACCCAAATCAATTGTTTTTAAAGTGGGAGGAATGTGAGGATGGTTGGGAGGACTGAGGCATACACAATTTGGGTATTGGACAGGAAACGAATGTATGAAAAATACAATTTGAAAAGTCATACAAAGGGGTATCTATAATACTTTCAACAATAAAGATAAATTTAAAAAAAATTTTAAATACAATTTGAAGTAGTGAAAAATATGATTGTGTACATAGGTTGGGACTAGATTGTCAAAGGCAGTAAAATTTGGTAGTGTTTCTAGAAGGACCTATAGGGGGACCCAGTATGTATTAAAGGCTATAAAGATTACAGTGAGAAAAGAAACCAAAAGGCTGTTGTGAAAATTAGCAAGAGATGAGGTGAGGAAAGAACCAGCATTTATTACTTATCATATGCCTGACACTTTACAGGCATTATCTTACTGCTTATGATAACCTTAAAAGGTAGGTAAGCTTATCACAAGTCTATAGATAAGGCATCAGAAATTCATTCAGCTGTGACTAGCCAAGATTTGAATTCAGTGCTTTCCAACTCCACAAACTAGTCTTCTCCATTTCAACTTTAGCATCCCTGAGAGACTAAGGAGAAAAGATGAGACTTGCTCTTAAAGCTGACTTCTTCTTCCAAATAAAATGATGGTTTCTGGAGATGTTGGGCTTTTTATCTATAATGTAAGAAATAAAAATGGTGTCAGAATTGGAGACAAATAATTATGAAAAATTAAAGGAAATAATAGTTACCCTAAATACTGTTAGTATTTTTTTTCTAGGTGCTGTTATAAGCACTTTACCTGCATTATCACATTAAATACTCTGAAAAAAGTAAATGCACTTGTTATGCTCATTTAGGTTAGGAAGCCAAAGCTTGTTTAGAGATGTGAAGGAACTTGACTAATGTCTTAGCTTAGAATCCCCCAGAAGTATAGCCTGAGACAGTATTTGCTGGCCAAGGAGTTCATTTTGGGAAATAACCCCAAGGAATAGGAACAAGGGACTGGGGAGAGTGAGAAAGAGAAACAGGAAAAGCCAGTCTAAGCTGTGTAGCTGACATGGATGCTGAATGGCCAACTGGCCCTCAATCCACCTCAGACTCTCTGAGGAGCTGAGAAGAAGCAGCCACAAAATTGACCACAAGAGAAAGAAGAAAGGGGTATTTAATAAGTGATTTCCATCTTCCAATTGGTTAAAGGTTGCTCCATAAGTGGTCAACCCCCTGCACATGCCTTAGAGTGTTAAACAGATTCCTACATGTGTCCCAGGTGGCAGTGACAGAGCAGAGCAAGAGAGGAGTGCAGCCAAGATAAGCGTGGTCAACATGTACATCACAATAATGACAGGAGTTACAGTGCAGGCCGAGAGGATGTGAGATGGGTCGTAGGAAGTGTCAGGAAGCACACAACGTGCAGTGTCAGGACAAGTATACGAATCTGGTTAGTCTGACTCCAAACCCTATCTCAGGCAGCAGTGGTTCTCAAATATTAGTGTGTGTCAGGTTCACCTAGAAAGCTTGTTGAAACACAGCTTACAGAGCCCCACTTCTGGGGTTTATTTATTTATTTTTACTCATCTGTATGAAAAAATGGAATACTGCCATTTGCAACAATATGAAAATATTATGCTAAGTGAAATAAGTCAGTCAGAAAAAGCTATGTAGGATATAAAACTGACACTCATAGTCACATACAACAGTATGGCGGTTACCAGAGAGAAGGGGGTTAGGGTAGTAAAGGGTAGGAGGAGGGGGTCAAATACATGGTGACAAAAGAAAAATTGACTTTGGGTGGTGGGCATACAATGCAATATACAGATCATGTATTTTAGAAATGTACACTTAAAACCTATATAACTTTATTAACCAATTGTGCCCCAATAAATTTAATTTAAAAAATAGATATTTTATTCTTTAGGTGAGAGGTGGGGCCAGAGAATTTGGAATTTTCTCAGTTCCCAGGTGGTGCTGCTGATGCTGCTTCAGGAACCACCCTTTGAGAACTGCCGTCTTACACATCACTATGCTTTCTTGCCAAAGATTTCTGAGATAAGCATAGGAGAAATGCAGCACTCTGGGTGCTGTGCCCAATTTATGGATTTTCAAGTTCTTAGAAAATAGCTTGACTGCCTCTCAAAAGGAAGAGCTTCTCTTCTACATGAAAAACAAGGTTTAGATAATAAAT